AGGGGCTAGCCCCTATAAGCTATTACTATAGGGATCGTAATAACGTTCTTCCGGCAGTTTAGTTACTCGCTCGCTCCGCTTAGGTCCCTCCGTTAAAACTTGTTTCAGGGGCCGGGTATTTTACATTTCAAGGCACCTTGTCGAATTCTCTGGTACAGCCCAGATGGTAGGATCGATCATCTGGTCATCTCGTCAAGACATGCAAGGTCCGGATAGGAGATGCACGATAGGAGATGCACGATAGGAGATGCACGATAGGAGATGCACGATAGGAGATGCATCAACTGTTGGGACCATGATAAGGGGACCGCCCTATTCAGGTGACAGCCCAAGGTGACAGCCCGAGTTGACAGCCCGAGTTGACAGCCCAAGGTGACAGCCCAGATAAGCTGACAGCCCGAGTTGACAGCCCGAGTGGACAGCCCGAGTGGACAGCCCGAGTGGACAGCCCAGATAAGCCTACAGTGCCCGTCAGTGGCAAGCAGCAGACACATCTCCGTGTGCGCTCCGAGGGGACCCATAAAAGCGGTGCTGATTGGGCGGACAGAGGCCCGGCCATCGGGATGGCGTGATTCGGTAGCGCGAAAATTGATGGGCAAATGCCGACGCCGTGATTGGTCAGTGGCCGACGCCGGCGAGCAAACGGAGATGGGGCCCTCCATCGTGCCTGCCACCACTGTCACGGCCGCAACCAGCGTATCGCATTTTGCCTTTTGGGAGGCTGTGAAAGATATCGACAACTTTCCACCATGCGTCAAAGGCCATCTCTCCTCTGAGCCATTTGCTGGATTCTGGATCGTCGAGGACCGACCTCTGGCTGTTTCACGCACTGCCGTCTCTTGACTGCGGACTGCCCACTGCCCTCTCTGCGGACTGCCCTCTCTGCAGACTGCCCTCTCTGCAGACTGCCCTCTCTGCGGACTGCCGACGCTCCACCATGTCTCTCCTCGCAGCCCTCAACTGCACGGGCAATGTCCACCTGATCATCGGCACGAACCCCCTGGCCGCCTCACGATGTGGCCAGTCGGTGGCTGCCGGTGCCAAGGCTCTCCTCATCGCTCCTGACACGGAAGACCTTCACTACGGCCTTGCCAAGCGCATTGATGCTGGCGAGGTGACCTGGCACAAGAAGGCCTTTGAGGACAATGATCTCTTCTCCCTCGGCCGTGACGACGTCGACCATGTCGTCGATGCCGTCTTCATCACCTCGGGCCCACGAGACCCGCAAGGTGAGTCCTCTCGCCCATGCTTCATCGCACCATGACATGAACACTGACAGACGACAGCATCACACATCTCAGCTCTCTGCAAACGCAACCGCATCCCTGTCAACGTCGTGGACGCCCCCCACCTCTGCACGCTCTCCCTGCTGTCCGTCCACACGGATGGGCCCCTTCAGATCGGTGTCACGACGAATGGTCGTGGCTGCAAGCTCGCCTCGCGGATACGTCGCGAGGTCGCTGCCGCTCTGCCGCCCGACCTAGGCGCCGCCTGTGCGCGCCTCGGCGACGCTCGTCGTCGCATCCAGCAGGAGGACCAGCAAGCACACAGCCAGGCCGATGTCGATGCCGACGCGGATGACTCGGTCGACCAGACGGCCTCCTTCAACAAGCTCGTCATCGAAGCCGACCTCGAGGCCGCCAAGACGCGCAGGATGCGCTGGCTGAGCCAGGTCTGCGAGTACTGGCCCCTCAAGCGCCTCGCCGCCATCACCGACGCCGACGTCGCCACCGTCCTCGAGTCGTACGCCAACCCGTCGGCCCTCCTCCCCGACGCCCCTCTGCCCCCGCTCACCGCCCTGCCCGCCTCCCCCGCCGCCGGTCGCCCTGCCGTCGGCAAGATCATCCTCGCCGGCAGCGGGCCGGGCCACCCAGACCTCCTGACACGCGCGACGCACAAGGCGATCCTCACGGCAGACCTCATCCTCGCCGACAAGCTGGTGCCGGCGCCTGTGCTGGACCTCATCCCGCGGCGCACACCCGTGCGCATCGCGCGCAAGTTCCCCGGCAACGCCGACGCCGCCCAAGACGAGCTGCACGCCCTGGCCTTGGCGGCGGCACGCGACGAGGGCAAGACGGTGCTGCGTCTGAAGCAGGGCGATCCGTTCCTCTACGGCCGCGGCGGCGAGGAGGTCGCCTTCTTCCGCGCCCACGGCCTCGGCGCCCGCGTCGTCGTCCTGCCGGGCGTCACCTCGGCCCTGAGCGCGCCCCTCTTTGCCGGCATACCCGTCACCCAGCGCGACGTGGCCGACCAGGTCCTCGTCTGCACGGGCACCGGCAAGAAGGGCAAGGCGCCCGTGCCGCCCGAGTACCTCGAGGCCCGCACCGTCGTGTTCCTCATGGCGCTGCACCGCATCAGCGGCCTCGTCAACGAGCTGACGGCGCCGCTCGAGGGCGAGGCCGAGGGCGTGCGGACGTTGTGGCCCCGCAGCACGCCGTGCGCTGTCATTGAGAGGGCGAGCTGTCCCGATCAGAGGGTCATCCGGACGACGCTCGGCGTCGTGGCCGAGGCCATCGAGGCCGAGGGCAGCCGGCCGCCGGGGCTGCTGGTCGTGGGCAGGGCGTGCGAGGCGCTGTATGCCCCCGAGAAGGGCAGGGCGTGGGTTGTCGAAGATGGGTTCCGGGGCATGGACTCTGACGATGTCGTGGCGCTCCCTTAGATGTATTGGTACGGTTTGGTGCTTGGGGCTGGGACGGTACGGTAGACTGGGTAGACGGCAGCATAGCGAGGCACACAGCCATGATTTACTTGTTCAACCAGGTAGCTAGAATCTACTTTTTTTTTCCCTTTGGACGCAGACCTTTGGATGTCTTGCCGCTTTGGACGTAGAGAGCGCAAGCGACATGTGAACCACGAACATGTACGTCTCACGATGGCTCTGCGGATTGCCAAGCCTCTCGACACACGGGCAATCGTACGGAGATCTTGTCACGCCATGGGGTGCATCAGCATGGCAGACGTATTTATTGACCATTTTGGAATCAATCTCGGAATAACATGATCAGGCCCATGATTGAGCACAAATCGCCTCCCAGGAACGGGTGCCTCCTTCATGTCCCCATCAGGAGACGTCAAAGTACCCCGCCTTCTGCACCTGCCTCAACATGACACGACGCTACTACTCCGTCGTCGTCCATCCCCTCTCTTCCATCGTCTGCTGACAGACAACATCGACCCAGAAAGTTCGAGCATCTCTCTCATCCAGCAGTCCATCATCATATCCATGTCCCTGCTGCATCGCCTCCATTCGTGGTCCCACGACAGACGCGAACGCCGGCGTCGCAGCGACGCCAACGAGCTCACGCCCATCCCCATCCGCCCATCCTCAACCCGCCAAGATGAATCCATCCCGCCCATCCTGCCGCCATCAGCGATCCGCCGTCCCTTGACGCCGTCGTCTGCCCCGGGAGCAGCAGAGAGCGCCCCGGCCTTGACAGCCCAGCCCTCCCCGTTCTTCACCCTTCCCTTTGAGCTGCGCCGTCAAATTTACCTCTACGCCTTTGGCCGCCAGACCCTCCACATCGACCTCGCCTTTCGCCGCCCCTTTGCCCCGGCGCCCTTGACGACGCCCGAGAAGGAACGCCCCCACGCTCACATATTCTGCGATCACATGTACTTCCACTCCGGCCAGGGCTTCCGCCGCATCACCGTCGACAAGAGCAGCCCGAAGGCCTGGCGATGGTTCGGCTGCGTCTGTCACGCGCGGGCCGCTGATGTCGGGTCCTTTGACCCGTCGCTAGCCGACGTTGTGGATCTGTCTACGGACGGGTGTCTCACGGGCCGGACGGACTGTGATGCCTGGCCCGGGGAGTGGCCCGGTCGGTGCTTCGTGGGCGTCCTGGGCTGGCTGCTGTCCTGTCGGCAGGCGTACGTAGGCCCTTATTTTCTTTTTTCTTTTTTTTTTTGTCTTATTATTTTTCCTTACTCTTTCGAGTGAACACCGCTCTGACTGAGCAGCGATGGCTGACGAGGGACAGATACGTCGAAGGCGTGCATGTTCTCTACAGCAACAACATCATCCACATCTCCTCCAACCTGCTCATACAGCGGCCCGATGCCTTCCTGCCCGCCCAGCGCCTCGCCCAGATCACATCGCTCAGGTTCCGCTGGTACTTCAAGGAAGGCCACGAGAACGCCGCCGACGATGCCGCCCTGTCCAACATGGCGCAGAGCAACTTCAGCCGCTCCTACCTGCCGCCGTCGTCCCTGCGCGGCCCCGTGTGTCCTGCACTAAAGTACCTGCACATCTCCCTCGAAGGCGACTTCATGGGCCTCTACGCCAAGCGCGACGACGAGGGCCGCGTCCCCTTTGACAGCCCGAGGGAGGGCGCGCAGGCCATGCGGGAGAAGCTGCAGCCGGCCTTGGACGAGGTCGTTCAGCGGTTTGCCACGCCAGTGACGGAGTGCGTCGTGGCTATCCCGTGGTCGTCGTACGAGACGTGGTGCCTGCTGGGGGGAGATGTTGGCCAGCCTCGGCAAACGTCCAGGGCAAGTTGGCGCGTGGTGCCTCGGGTCTCCTTTGGATTTGATGCTCCGTCGCTGGCAAGTGCCGCGCCTTGACCTCAGCTCCTGTCGCTCATGTTCAACAGCCGACCAAGCCTACTCGTCCGCAGTGGCCTCCCCTGATCCCAAGTGGAAAAGAGCGGGCACGAAGCCGATTCTCGTGCTACCAGGAGACCCCCATTCACCAAACCAGCACAACCATGACTCGGCCCCATCAACCCCGAAACAAAGTGGGAACCCAACACCGACAAGGCGAAAAAAACACCGCAGCCACGCCTTACGAAAAGTCTGTCTCGACCCACGAATCCATCGCATCAGTCATGAGCTGCGAGCCGGGACCTGTTTTCAACAACAAGCAACCTGCCTGCCCGGCTAGCTCAATCGGTAGAGCGTGAGACTCTTAATCTCAAGGTTGGGGGTTCGAGCCCCCCGTTGGGCTCAATTCCTGACGCATCTCGAAAGAGAACTTCACTTTTACTTTTTGCCATTTGCGAGACCTCATCGGTTCAGCACCCTGTTGCAACAAAGTCACGCCACATGCACGATGAGAGTCAATCTGACAGCAGAAAAGTAACCCCCACAAAGGGATCGCGGCTATGGGTGCTTTGACTTTTGTCTTGTTATTCCTGTCGTGCATCTTGACAGCACACCTTATGCCGACAACACGTTGGCACCCTGGTCGGGACCATCACCGGAGGAGCTGGTCTCGCCATCGGCGACCCCAAGCGCTCGTCGCAGGGCAGCGAGGCTCCTCGCCAGCAGGTCGTCGACATACGCAGGCTCGTAGTATGCTTCATTGTACGCGCCGTGTAACACCAGCTCGCCCCTGAACGTCCACATGAGGAACTGCACCATCGGGCCCTGCAGAGTGTTTGCGATCTTGAACTCCTCCACCTCCCAATCGCCATGCCGCACCTTGATGTAGTCATCCACGATGCCCAACGCCGTGTACCATGGCGCGTTGCCCGAGCTCACACCCGCGAGCGCCGCCTCGACAAAGACATCAGTCGATGCTGGCAGTGCCTCCAGCACGTTCTCGGCGTCTGGGTGCTTGATCCCGCCCCTATACCGATCCGACAGCTCCTTCGCTGCCACGTCGAACGTTTCCTCGCTCAGCGCAACCGTGTACGGCATGACGACGAAGTAGCAGGCCGACATGCCCCTGGCGGCAGCGAACGCGTCGGGGAAATACCGCCGGCAGTCAAAGTTGGCGAGCCCGGCCCAGGTGTCTCCGGCCGTGCCCTCAATCTCCCGCTGCACCTCCTGCACGGCGATGCCCGCCGCAATCTGCAGCGCCGCCGTGACGGTGAAATTTCTCGCCTTGCACGCCGCGAAGACGGCGCTGCTCTCGGTTTTGCTGAGGCGCAGTTCGCGACGCCCAAAGCCGGCGGGCGGTCTCGTCAAATCGGCAACCGGCGTCTTGATGGGGTTTGCGGTCGAGGCACGAGCCAGAACCTCGGGCACGGCAGCCTTGGCCTCGTCCGATGCCGTCTCGGGGATACCGATCAGGGCGTCAAGAGACGGGGGCAGGTTGGGCAGCAGCGTCTCGGCTGAAAGGATGACGTCCTGCGGGTTGGCGAGAGCGTCGAAAAAGGCGTCCCAGAAGAGCAGCGTGCCGCGGCCGTCCATGAAGGCGTGGTTGATCTGCAGCGTGAGCTCATGGGCGGCGGGGCAGTAGATGAGAGTCGCGACGCGGCGGTTGACGGCTGTGCGGTAGACGTCGTCTGCTGTCTTGTCGGGCCAGAGGAGGAAGGTCTCGTCGAGCCAGGCGGTGAGGGCCGCGACATTGGCGGGAAGCTCAATCATCTTCATCGCCGCGTCGTCGTCGTGGGTCGCTGCGATCTGAGGCACGTCGCGGCGGGCTTGGAGCCATGCCTTCTTCAGGGCGGCGGTCGTCTCGCCAGCGGTGAGGCCATTGTGGTTGGCAAACCGCACGGTGCTCGTGAGGATCCAGTCTGATGGCTGACCGATGGCGCCGCGGATACGGCTGTAGAAGCCTTCGATGACGGCACGCTTCTGGCGAAAGGTGGTCGGCGAGACCTGTTCCCACGACGTCTCCATCTACGGTGGTGTAGCGACGATCAAAAGTGACGAGTCAAGCAGGGCGGGGATGCCAGAGAGGATGGAGTCAGGATCGTGGGGGGGGAATGCAGGCGGAGAAATTGGGGGCAGATGGAGGTGACGAGGTGCATGAGATCATGCATCTCTGGCGCGGGCTTTGGTGCTTCATAAGGCTGGTAGCGGCCTCGTTCGACAGTCCGTGCTATCCACTCTTCGACTCCATTCGCATCCGTCGTTCGGATGGGCTCGGTGGTTGTGACCGAGCGACGGGGCTCATAGTCTTGGAATCCGGGGAGGTCGGATCTCGGGGAGATCAATTGACTCTTGATCCTGCCGATGACGTTCCTCCCTGGGAGTGGATGAAGGGGCTGCTGTGTGTCACGGCCTCAATTGGTGACGAGCAAATACACCATGTTGCATGAAGCAGACTCTCGACATTCTCTCAACAGGAAGCATGCAAAGTTCGTCGTGGTCAAGGTATTATTCATCTGCTCAAGCGAGGAGCATCCCCAATCATTTACACGAGAAGCAACGTCTCCTCTCTCCGAAGCAAGGCTATCACCACCTCCCTCCAGGAAAAAAGACCCACCGGCCAGAAGTCCTATCGGCCAAACGACCACAACGCAGCGTGAACCCGGCCGCCGAGCCTACGGCGCAGTAGGCGTCACGACAGTCGGCGTAAACACGGCACAGTTGTTGCCCGCGACATCCACCGTGACCTGCGCGCGCTCGTCGTGCCCGTCGAGGCACGCGCCGCCGCTCGCGACGACATTGGTGCCCGTGAAGCCGACGAGCTCGACGCCGTTGGCGCCGGCGGCGCAGTCCTCGGCGCGAAAGTGCGTGCCGTTGAAGCCGACGCAGGCCTGCACGCCGACGAGGTCCGGGCGGAAGCCGGCGCTGAAGGCGCGCTGGACGACGAGGACGGGGGTGCCGTTTTGCGTCGACGGCGTCACCTGTCTGTCGGCGGCCTCGTTGACGCAGGCTGCGTTGACGATTTCGCCTGATCGCGTTAGGAGGGGGGGAACTCTACATGCTGTGCTGGCCGAGATGCTCTGCACTTGACGAGAGAGGAGGCTTACCGTTGTTGCGGAAGGTGAGGCACTCGTTGCCCGGGACGCCGCCAATCTCGAAGAGGACGAGCGTGTCGCCGTTGGCGGCGGGCGGCGCGGCCTCGGGGGCGTCGGGGACGGGCGCATCGGGTGTCTCGACGGCGGGGGCCGAGGTGGCGGCCGGGGGCGCGTCGGGGGTGATGGAGGCTGTCGGCACCTCGGAAAAGATGGGCGCCGGGGCACCAACGCCGGGGGCTCCGCCGGCACCTCCGCCGGCGCCGCACTGGCGCTTCGCGTGCCTCCTGGCGGATTTCTTGGAGTGACGCTTCGCGTGGCTGGTGTGCATGGTGGCGGCACAAGCGGCCGTGGCCATGGTCAGGAGCGTGAAGAACTTCATGGTTGGAGAAGAACGAAAGAACGAAAGATGGGGGTACTCGGAAGCTCTGTCGAAGAGGGTTCAAAAACGAAGGTGGGCCAGCCGGGGTTGATCGAAGAGAAGACGGAAAAGGAGGAAGTGCAGCGAATGAGAGTGCCGTGGAGAGTGATGTTGCGCTGTCGACTTGGGACGGGCGATCAGATGGGCGAGCTTATATGTGATCGCCCTTGCGCAACGGCGCGCCTCGTCTGTTCCCGCTCCCCCTTCGCTACCCCCCAGGCTTCGCGTCTCGTGGCTACGACGCCTGGCGAACACGAGCTCGGCAGGGCTCTGCCTCACGAATGCCTCATGCACCCAGTTGTCAAACAGGAGACGAGGCCTGGGCTGCCGCGACGGCATCGTGGAGGGAAAGGGTCAAGCCTCGAGGCGGCCGTTGCTGAAACGCTTTGCCCGTCTGATCTCAAACAAGGGGCTGATGTTCGCTGGCGCCGCACCCCCCTCGCCCTGGTCACCATGGGCACTGGGCCGAGGGTCGAGGTGTCAACCGATCTGTGATGGAGGCTGGTCCCATCGGACCATCAGCGAGGATCCGGGGGATGAGACCGACGGGCCTGGTCGCGGGCAACCTGCCAAGAGAACGTCTGAATCGCTCTGGCACGTTTGCTGGCGGGTTTGCGATAAAATTGTCCGACCCCGACCACGATGCTCCGTCACGTTTCAGAGCGCCCCTGATTTGGTGCACGCGCCAAAAGGAGGGCGTGCTCCATGAGGTGCGGATGATTGAATGATTCTAGCAATCATTTCGGTCGCCGACGTGCCGTATCCCGTCTTTTGCTGTTTGGGATCTTGTGTCTTGAAGTAAATGGGTGACGGCAATGGCTTGAGACTTTTCCCGCACCACTTAGATGAATCCGTTCTGCAGGCCGCCTTACAATCCCAGGTACGAATTGAGAGAGTTGAGCTATCGTATTTCGCATTTGAATGACTTGGCCATGACGGTTGTGACTTGAAGGAATCCTGGAGGAATTTTGCCCACAGGTCGATTTCACACAAAATGCGATTGGAGTCTTGATGCACCGGCTTTGTATGGCGTTCTGTCAGGGTCATATGAAGTCATGTAGGCAATTCAGCCAGTAGAGCTGGATACTACATTTCCTTTGCTGAATCAGTCTCCGAACGAGCGCCTAGGACTCGCTGTGATCTTAGCCAACCCAAACGATGCACTCATACATCGGTCTGCCCGTGATTCGGAGGATCGAGGAGACTACCGATACCACACAAGATGGCGGCACATCGTCAACACAGCAGAGTATAGCAATAACGAAGTCACACGCAATCTTGATAAATCTGACTCATGCTGCGCGCTCATTCCACATACAGTTGCTGCTGCTATCATGATATCATTACAGTTCGCTACCCATACAAGTACATCTTCAACCCATGCGGTACACAGCATCCTTGCGGAAGTACTGACTAATGTCATTGTCCATGCCGCATCCACGGCACTTGTGGAACACCTTGGCCCCTTCGTGGGCAGGGCCGTAGTGGTCCGCACCCAGGCCCGCAGACCCAGCGCCAACACTACCAGACCCAGCACCAACGCCCGCACCAGTGAGGCCAGCACCGCTGAGGCCGGCGCCGCTGAGGCCAGAGCCGGTGTGGCCGGCGCCGTACTGGCCGCCCTGCAACCCGCCAGGGCCACCACCGACGCCGCCGAGCTGGTTGGCTCGCCTGCCGTCGAGGTCCGAGTCGACGCGCGGGTCGAGCTTGTTGCCCATGTTGCTGTCATGGGGACCAGCGCGCGTGGCGCCGAGACCGCCCTGGGCACCGACGGGGCTGCTGTGCGTGTCGAGCATGCTGGACTGCGGCACACCGCCGCCGCGCTGGTAGTTGTCGCCCGAGGCCGTCTGGTCAAAGTCGCGGTCGCGGTGGTGGCGCGCCAGCTCGGAAACGGCCATGCCTGCGCCGGCGGCGCCGACACCGCCCGCGATGCCCGGGCCGGAGGCTGAGGCGCGATCGCGGGAGTCGCGGCCGAAATCGCGGTCGCGGGTGCGGCTGTCGAAGCCGTCGTTGTCGTCGAGGCGGTGGCCTGTCACCTGGTGGCTGCCAGGGGCGGTGCTGTAGGTGCCGCCGCCGACGGCTTCGCCGCTGGGATAGGCCTGGTTGGAGGCGTAGTTGGTGCGGTTGTCGCGGTCGGAATCGACGCGGGGGTCGAGCTTGTTGGCGACGTTGCTCTTGTGGGGACCGGCGGTGGTGGCTGTGTTGCCGTAGCCCCTGTTGGAGGTGTCGCCGTAGCCGGTGCCGGATGTGCCACCATAGCCGGTGTTGGTGTGGGCGGTGGTGCCGTGGGTGGTGCCGCTGGTACCGTAGGCGCCACGATTGTCGCGGTCCGAGTCGACGCGAGGGTCGACCTTGTTAGCGACGTTGCTGTCATGAGGACCGGCATTGGTGGAGGTGTTGCCGTAGCCAGTGCTGCCGTAGGCACCCGAGGGCTGCTCGCCAGGGCGCAGAGGAAGGTCCTTGCGGTTCAGGCTGCTGCTGTTGTTGTGGCCGACACGGCTGGGGTCGTCGCGGCCGACAGCGCCCCAGTAGGGGTCGTTCTGGCCGGCGGCGGTGGCGGTCGTGGTCGTGGTGCTGGTGTTGGTGTTGATGTTGTCCCTGTGGCTGCGGTCATGCAAGCCGACGCCCGAGTCGGTTGGCTGGTGTCTGTAGTTCGGGTCGTGCGACGAGAGACCGTGGTTGTGTGTCCTGGGGTCGGTCTTGTGAAGCTTGGTGTCATCGTTGGGGTAGGCGCCAGTCGTGCCGGTGTGGCCGTGGGTTGTCGTATCGGCGTATTCGTCGCGGTCGTCGCCGTGAAGGGCGTCCTTGATCTTGTCCTTGAGACCCATGATGCTTGATGTGGTGGTGGTGGTAGTGGAAGTGGTAGTGATGATGGTAGTGGTAGTGATGATGTGAGGGTGTTGAGAATTGATGCGATTGATTATTGATGAATCTTTCTGGGTATCTTATACACTGCTTGAGGCTGTCAAAGTGATGAGAGAAAAATCCCACCCTTCACTGCAGGCGAGCTGCTGATATACACGGCGAGCCTGCGTCTGCGATCTTCGCAGGACCCGGACTTGGCCTAGGTCAGTCATCATGGCAGCGCCGTCTGACATCACGGCAGACGATGGATGTGCATGTCGAGACCTGCTTCTCGGCCTCGATGAGCTCATGTGGAGGGGACGAGGAGGCTCGTCGTTGGGTTGCGCGGCGGAAAGAGTTGGAGCTGCGTGCGTGGATGACGATGAAAATGCCATGCATGACGTTGCCTCAGATGCCGGCACCCGCCACCCATGGCGCCTGTGGCTAGTGCCTCGTGCCTAGGTTGCAAGGACGCAAGGACCCAAGGACCCAAGGACCCGAGGACGTTGCGCTCCGCGCTCGCAGTGCTCCCGGTGTCTGTCCACTGAAGTCCACAAAGTCCACTGAGGTCCACTGCGCTCTCCACTACATCTGGGCCGTCGCGGGGTTGGCGTGCGTCATCGTGGTGCTGGCCGGTTGGATCCCCATGGTGTCCTTGAGAGACATACGATGATGAGAAGAGGGACTGTAGCCACGGGGGGTTCCCTCTTACAGGCTCATCGTCCGTCTATCTCGTAGGTACCTACCTTACCCCAAGTGATACAAGGTAAGGTACACACAAGATACCCGTGACGGGCAAGTACCATCTGCCTCCATGCTTCCACACGGCCTCTCCACTACACTATTTCGTCTTCACTACCACCTCGAGCACTGTCCCTTTGACAGGAGCTGCTATGATGAGCTCGACAATGCTGTCTCCTCAAGAAACCTGCCACTTGGCCCGCCAGGTTGGCACATATAGTCCGAATAGCAACGTCTTGTCGTGAGTGCAGACGACCTCATGTTGTAACAACAACGAAGGAAGGACGCCGCCCGAAGCCCACCTCGCGTGGATGGCTTGACCAGGATGATAAATTAAGCCAGCTCACATGAGCAGATCACGGGGACCGATGATCTAACAAGCGGAGCATCACGGTTACTGTCAGGATCGCCGTAACCCAAGATCTAACATAACAAGATCACCGACCAGCAGTGAGCCCCCAACATGAGCTCCCAATCTAAGACGGCAAAGGCAGGATGAAACGGTATACAAGGATGGGCAGTCTGTACTTGCGGCTACACTATTTCTTACGACAGTGATCAATCGAAGTGTTACCTTATACTCATTCTAACGAGTGCGCAATACCTCACGATATTGTATCGCCTCAGAGTCACAACCTAGCTTCTGCTAACAGCAACCCTAACCCTCCGACGGTCCTCCCCTTCCCGAAAGCCGACAGGCCGTTAAAATAAACACCTGGCACTAATATAGAGACATTGCGCTTTGCGATTTATGCCACAAACATCCATCTTACCATCTATACTTTACCCTTACCAATTAATATGCCTTTTCATCTGAACTTGAATGGAAAGGCATGAGCTCGTTAGCCGTGGTCTCCAGCGACAAAATATTCTTCTAGTAAGACGAGCCAGATTGGTGCCCTTTGGCAGGGTGCTCGTGAGAACTTTTCGCCCTTAGGACTACAAACTTTCTCATTACCGGCCAAGACTGAAGACCGGAACCCATCCGCTACAGGAAAGGACAAGAAATTCGATATCATGTCCCTGGAAGATCAAATTTTCAGACATGAACACGAAGAGATCCTGTTCTTTTTGCATAGAGTACTCTGGGCTAGTGGATCGGCCTTCCATGCATGGGGCATCGTGGGCGCCTTGAAATACTGGGCCCGCGGAGGTTGAGCCTCTTCGGGCGATGGATCCAAGTACGATGTCGCCTCCAGGCGCCACTGTGTCCCTTTTGCTCAGGCCTTCTTCACTAGTCCACCACCACCATCGTCGTCACCATGTCTGACGACGAAGACGACACCCCCATCGCCTGGTCCATAAGCCTTATGGAACTTCCCGCGGAAGTCTACATCAAGATTTTCCTCACTCTCTTCAATCAACAGAGTGTCGTCGCACTCCGCCTTACCTGTCGCAAGCTTGAGGGCGTATACCAGCGCATCGCCGAGACGGTCCGTGTTGACCAGTGCGAGCGCATCGTCGCGCCTGTTCGAAACTTTCTTGAGTTTCTCGACCGCTTCAAGCTCCCAAATGACAGGGTGCGACACCCTCCTCCGGGCGGCTGGCCGCACATCCAGCCAGGTCCCGGCAATGCACTTGAGTCCAAGACGCCTTTCGCCCTTGACATTCTGCGCCATCTCTCCTACATATACGACCCGGAGCCGCAGTTTGACTACTATGACGGATGCGTCACTCACCGAAGCACCATGGTTGACTATTCGGAGGCCGACGCCTACCAAGGCGGTCAAGAAGACCTGTGGCTTGAAGAATCCGGTTTCGTGGGAGACGATCATCCACCACCATCGGAAGGGCGTCACATACTCACACTAGCCGATGGCTGGGAGGGCCCCGGCCACTGCATCTACATCGATACCTGGACCGGGCTCGTCTACGAAGACGAGGAGGAGTGCGGCCCCTGCGCCCCCATAATTCTGGCCCAAGACTTCTTTTCGGATCGCATCAAATCTCTGAAGCGGTTCGACGAGGTCTTTGTTCCGGGCGACCATACCATCTACAGACGCCAAGCGCATTATGAACGTGAGATGCCGTGGCGGAATGGACATTTCTGGGATCGCGAGGAACGCTATGTCGACTATGACCCAGATGACGACCCCTACGACGCTGAGGCGATGGAGAGACAGGGAGAGCACGACGGAACGAATCAGGAATTTGGCTGCATGGAGGACGCGGACTGGATCCGACACCTTTACTTCAAGCATGGCTGGCCGGGGGAGAACTGGGACAAGGAGGCCTGCCTGCAAGCGATCAGGGACTTTGTGGATCGCCGGCGCCAACGGAGTGGGCGATGGTAGAACTAATGCGCCCGTACCCAGACATCCAGGCCATGCAACAGAGAAGGTTGGCCGAGATTTCACTGTGTAGCTTCGGTAGTCGCAATGGGTTAATAATGTTTAAGGTCAATACATTTTCTTCGTGTAATACTATGTACGAAATCATTATTCCTAATTGGCCATCTACCACTTGAACTGTTACGGCCTAGTTTTTAGCCTAGCTTTACTACTTAGGGCGTTATATTGGAAACCATACGCCTTGCTACAACTCCTGTTAATTTATTTGACTTTATCATAGTAACCATCTGTGTAGTGTCCTTGCCTCTTACGACTTTTAGGACTGCTTGCTCTATTCATTCGACATGTGCCCAAAGTAGTTCCCCAGCCCGTTGTTCTACACAATTTCCTGTCAAGTCATCGCCCAAGAGCATAAGGCAGGACCGCAGCGATGTCATTGGTTAGCAATCATCTGCTCCCCACGTGAAATTGAGCTACTTGAGTTGGGAGCTCATCCTTCTTCTGATGGAGAATTTGTGGCTTCTACTGAGTTCTCGATTATGGATTCTTGACTATTCTATTATACGCTCTTCAACTAACCAACCTCCGGCCCTTAACCATGAGTCAAAGCTCTCGGGTTTCGTCGCTCAGGCCAAATACAAGAAAGACGACATCCACAAAGAGCAATCCTGTCTACCAACTTCCTGTCGAATCCGGTTAGTTCGTCAGATCAATTACAGCCGGCCAGAGTCGCTTCGTTACTTTACATCGCTTCATTCCAATAAGGAACTTACGAGGACACCAGAGGAATGGTTTTTACAAACAATTTGTGACAATGTCAATTCAGACATCATAGAAAAAAACCCGAACTCATCTGCAACAAGGAACTAACATTGCTTTTTAAGATGTGAAAGATTCCGGTACGGTGTTCACAACATTTTTTCGAGTAATCGCTCTACGAACGATCTCCCATTCCCTCCTCATATCGGTGAGCTACTCTCGCAAGACCCCCAAGGACATGGATCTCGATCCAAGACTTTCAAATAAAAAGCAGACAGTTCTCAGTCCTTCTACGAAGCACTGTCTGCCCCCCAATTGATCATGACCCGCAGTTTTCAGCCTGGACTTACTGGTTGTAGAGTCTTCGTCATGGATATGGGATTCTGCGGGTGACCTTTTCCACCCACGAAGTCCAGAGATTCGCCAACGAACCGGAATTTCTCCATTCTCGACTCTTTGAGGCCTGGCGACAAGAGAAAGATTACAAGAGTCCATGCCTTTGACATACTTCACGCAAACATTCTATTCGCGGGAATAGATGTCCGGTAAGACTTGGAAAGTATCTGAAAGAAGCATCTCGCAGGACCTGATATAAACCGTAGCTGGCCTACGTATGCCAAATTGACCGATCGTCCCAACCTGGTGCTTCAGCTATCAAGTTTACCCCAGACAAAGTAAATCAGCTCCCTAGTTCGGGCCCTCCAGTCTTCCGAACCCGAAGTGCATGGGGGAACCACCGCAGAATTGGGGATGTGTCAGTATACTGGTACTAGGATGCCGAATAACATACATCATGGTAGATTACCACGTGCCGGGTTACACGCCGTGCTATCAGTCCGGGCCGATTGTCTATCAAATACCTGCAGGGAACAGAAGCTCACTCACACCAAGGGCAAAGATCAATTCCAAGACCAACGTCGCTAATTCTTAAAGGGTAGGAAAAGAGGCATTGCGGCGTTCCTAGTCAGCTGGATATCACTGACAATATATGGACTAAAGTGGTTAAAAGATAGGCCTCAGACCCAGTTGTTCTACTAACCCCGGTCATCGAGAGTGGATGCCCACCATCTTGCCCACCGCGTCAGTCCGAATGGGGAAACTAAAGAGACAAAAGTCTGGACCGGCCCGGTGCCGCATCGCGGTGAGGGGGAAGCTGTCATCTCACCGGGCCCCCAGCCATCCATCTTCACTCACTGATGTACGCTGGTGAGCGCCCTAATTGCCCGATGTCATGAGACAATCGCATACTGTCGATGCCGCATCGCGGTGAGGGGGGAGTTGTCATCTCAGCGGGCCCCCAGCCATCAATCTTCAGTCACTAATGCACGCTGGTGAGCGCCCTAATTGCCCGGCGTCATGAGACAGTCGCATACTGTCGATGCCGCTTGGACCAAATGCGGTAAGCAAATGCGAGCGTTCGCAGTTGTCTTCCAGGGCTCTGGAACTAAATTCCCCAGAGAGCTTATCAGGTCGTGCGGGGAACGTTGGGCTACCTTGGAAACCTTGGGATTAGTGTGGGCAGCAAGCTCGTGAGCGTGTGTTCAGACAGCAACACGTGTAACATGGCTCAACCCGTAGTCTGGGCAAGGTAGGCCAGGCCAAGCTGTAGTCATGTCTGCAGTGTAGCGATGCGGGTATAAAAACCGGCCGGTATCTTGTGACCGCATCTTGCACTTTCTCCCTTGGAGTCTTTTGTCACCGGCGTTCTCCATCTCGTTCCACTCATCATGGCTTCCAAGTTAATCGCATTCCTGGCTCTCTCCGCCGAGCTCAGTCCAGCCCTCGCCATCGTCATCCCGCCACGGGCCGAAGCGAAGCCCCAAGCATGCCGTAAGACCAAAGTAGCCGTTCTCGGGGCCGGCATCTCGGGCATCACGGCAGCGCAAAGCCTGTCCGGTGCCGGTTTGGACGATTTCCTGATCCTCGAGCACAACGACTTCATCGGCGGCCGCGTCCACCACACGACGTTTGGTGCAAAACCCGACGGGTCGCCGTACACCGTCGAGCTCGGCGCGAACTGGATCGAGGGCGTCGGCGCCACAGGACCTGTCAAGAACCCGATCCTCGAGGCCACCGACAAGGCCAAGATCAAGAGCGTCTTCTCCAACTACAGCGCCCTTGTCTCCTATGACCACCAAGGCGCAAACGATTACCTCCACCTCCTCGACGAGTACGACGGCAACTTCACCATCGCCACGCAAGACGCCGGCTCCATCCTCGAAAACGACCTCCAGGACTCGTCGATGCGCGCCGGCCTCAGCGTCGCCGGGTGGAAGCCTGGCCGCGATATGCTCGCCCAGGCTTCCGAGTGGTGGAGCTGGGACTTTGGCGTCTCCTGGTCGCCCGACGAGTGCGGCTTCCAGTTCGGCATCACCGGGGACAACGAGACCTTCAACCGCTTCGGCGACGAGCGCTACCTCGCCATCGAGGAGCGCGGCCTCAACGCTTTTGTCCGCGAGCAGGCCCTAACCTTCCTCGACGGCATCGAGGACCCCAGGCTGCTCCTCAACACCACTGTCGACGCCATCGAGCACAGCACCAAGGGCGTCGTCGTGCACGACCGCAACGGCGGCTGCGTCGAGGCGGAGTACGCCATCTGTACCTTCTCCGTCGGCGTGCTGCAGAACGACGTTGTCGAGTTCAAGCCTCGCCTGCCCGTGTGGAAGCGCGAGGCCATTGAGCAGTTCCAGATGGGCACCTACACCAAGATCTTCATGCAGTTCAACGAGTCCTTCTGGCCCGAAGACGCGCAGTTCCTCCTCTACGCCGACGAGGACGAACGTGGGTGGTATCCCGTCTTCCAGAACCTCGGCGCTCCCGGCTTTCTCGAGGGCTCCAACATTCTGTTCGGCACCGTCGTCGGACACCAGGCATTCCGCGCCGAGCAGCAGACGGACGAGGAGACCAAGGCGCAGATTCTCGCGGTGCTGCGCAAGATGTTCCCTGACGCGAACGTGCCCGAGCCGACGGCTTTCATGTACCCCCGTTGGGGCCAAGAAGAGTGAGTCTTCGCCGAGTGTCCTTGCCAGGCGACTTCCACTGACGACAGCAGGTGGGCCTTTGGCTCCTACAGCAACTGGCCGGTCGGCATGACCCTGACCAAGCACCAGAACCTGCGTGCCAACGTCGGCCGCCTCTGGTTCTCGGGCGAGGCAAACTCGGCCAAGTACTACGGGTTCATGCACGGAGCGTACTACGAAGGCAAGGACGCCGGCGAGCGCATCGCGGCCATGGTCAAAGGCGAGCCCATCATCAACCAGGACACGGCCCCCGACGGGCAGCTGAAGCGGTACGAGAAGCTGTACGGGTCCGTCAATAAAAATGAATACAACGAAGGCAACGGGTGGCCGGATGATGAGTAGAGAAGGCCCCAAAAGCAGTGTTGAACGTGGACGTAGTCTCCGCGAGTACATATTCTAATCACCGTTCGATGTCGAAGACGATGCACGCCTAGTTCCAGTCTGTATTGCAGCCAAGACGCTGCGTAGCAGAGACGCTGATGGCATCGCTGGCGATCTCTTCTTCTCGAAATCGTGTGAAAGTGTTCGAAGAGAAGCTTGCAAGTAGGATCTGACCTCTTCGTCTTCAGACTTCATCGATCATCTCATCACAACGGTAAAACATCTAAGCAGCAACACAGCTCCACCGCCAGATGGTCTCTGGCGTTCAAGTTGAGCTGTAGTGAGTCCTGCTTCAGATGAACGACAACCGCAAGTCCTTGCAACCCATCTCATACCTTGCATGCAGCTTGCTCTGTCCCTATGCATACTCTCAGGGGTGGGCGGGCAGAGACGCCATGAGACACCTCGGACTAGATCATCTGCCGTCTCCAGGCTGAAGTGGAAAGCAGACAAAGCTCATGCATGTATGCAATTATAATCTACGCTCATCCACATCCAACTTGCCCCAGGCAGCCATAAGGCGTCACCTCCAGGGAATCCTGACACCGAAATCATCAGCAATGGCCATGGCCGACACGACGCACCCCTCCAGCAGAACCATGCCGTCCCAGCACCAGGCACCCGCCAACCAGACGTTGCCTTCGCCGCTGACCCACGAAGACTGGACCCCGTCGGTCTTCTTCTTGTTATGCAGCCGCGACCGCCCCATAATCTGCTCCACCACAGCCCTGCTCTCTGTCGTCCGCAACGTCCTCGTGAATCTGGCTGTGTGCAGCGTGCGCTTCGCGTCGGCAGCGGCGTCGAGCGGACACGTGCTGACGACGACGCCGCTGGGCATGGCGT